TTCATATTTCTTGGTATTTTATTTGTTCAACTATAAAAGGGAGAGCCGCTGCCCCACCTTGCCCCCTTCTTTGGGTATACCCGTTTACTATCTCTACCCTGAAACATTCAACGGTCTCTGCCCATCTTAACCTCCTTGCCTCCATGTCATGAGATATTGACTGACCGGTTTCTTTCAGCAGTTCTTTATTGTTCCTTATCCTCCATGTGTCAAGGTTCTGGTCCCATATAGGTCCTGTTATCCTACGTAGAACATTTCTTTCGAATCTCTCAATTCCGGATTCTAGTGTGCTGGTTAGAGCCCAGGTTTCACAACCTATATATATATATATATATATATATAATATATATATATATAGATATATATATATATAGTTACTGCTATATATAGCACCATAGTTACTGCTCTAAAATAATAGTGTACCAGGGCCATACTGGCCAGGCAGTGAGGTGCGAAATTAATTCCACAGTTAAAAGCCCCCTCTCCCTGATATGGGGATGCCAAACTGGTAACTATTTATATTAAATCATGTTTTACAAGGTTGCTTGGCAACGTGGTGCTCTGTGTACATGCTTTTGACTGCTCTGGAGAATAGGCATTGCCAAAACCAAATGAGATCAATCCTTCAAGAAGGAGAGGCATTTCTAACATGAAAACATTTAAATACTACATGTCTAAAATTAAAACAGAATATATTATTATTTTAATATAAACTATTTAAATCAATCAATTATCGAACATTATTTTATTTACAATTAAAAAATATATACATGCACACAAAAATGCACACACATACCTATATATATTTCACAATATATAATTTTTCAATAATGCATTATTGATTTTATTGATATATATATTATTAATAGTAAATAAAACAATGTTCTATAATTAATAGATTTAATAACTTATATTAAAATAATAATAAATTCTGATATTAATTTTGGTCATGTAGTATTTAAATGTTTTCATGTTAGAAATGCCTCTCCTTCTTGAAGGATTGATATCAGGAAGGATTGATATATCTATCTTAGATTAATATCAGGTAGCACTACCATTTTCTCTTCTCTTGTCAGCTCACTATTCTAATACTCCATTAGGATAGGTTAACCTCAAACTGGGTTTCTAGGCTAACTGTCATGGTTCACCAATGGGTATGCTAGAATGGAGTTGAGAAGGAGTAGCTTAGTGACTACTATATGTACGAGACATCACTCTCCTCAGACATCAACATTTCATTCATAACTTTTTTCTCAGTAATCCCCTAGTTCTCCATATCTTGTTTACGAAGGGAGGGGGAGGAGCGGAAGTGGTGTTTTTATTATACTTGATATTTTATTTTTCTGCTTTAAAAGGGAGAGCAGCTGCACCACCTTGTCCCCCTCTTTGGGTGTACCCGTTGTACTATCTCTACCCTGAAACAGTTTAACCGTCTCTGCCATCTAATCAACCATCTAAAAATAATAGTGTATATATGTTTTACTTTATACCAACGGTTATACACATTTTTAAAATTTTCTCAAAAATGGCTCCAACGATTTTGATTAAACTCGGTGTATCATTGTATAGTTAAGTGGTCTTTAATATCATTGAGGTCTTATCCTCATTGATGTCACTTTACAGGGATTAAATGATTAACAAGTTTTCCTCTAAAGTACCTTTTATTTGGTTTATTTTAAATAATTAACCATTTCTCATTATTAAGATTTACGAAAAAATGCTAAATATAACTTTTGAAAGAATTTGATAATTGGAAAATGGAGAAAAAAGGGAAAATGTTTATTTAGGTTTTTATTGTCTACCGTTGATATAATTAATAGGGTTTTTGTTATTTTAATGGTCTTAGTGATTTGTTAGCTGTAATCTTTAAGCTATAGCTCTGTTAAAAGTGCACTTCAAAAATTGTATAGTTGCTCAGCATTGCGAGAAAATAATTTTTATTCAAAGTTGAAAGGTAAGTGAATGTTTTGTGTTGCGCGCACCAGATTTTTTCTTTAGTAAACATTTTAACTTGTTAGATAAGTATATTTAATTTAATTTTATGGTTTTTTAGAATATTTTTGGTTGTGTAGTATGGGTATTTCCAGTTTTTGATGATAAGTTGTTTGAGTATAACCGTTTCTGTTTTCATGTTATCTCCACAAATTTTCCTTCAATATGTGTTAATATGTCTTGGAGTAATGTTCTTTCTCTAGTTAATGGGTCTATTTTGAGCTGTTGATGTGAAATTTGCTCTGCATTTATATGATTTTTGTTCTGTCCTGATGATATCTGAATTGCGGAAATGTTAACTGGTTATTTCAAGAGTACCTACCTCTCCCCCCCCCCCCCAAGGGTGATGACAAGAGTCCCTCTCCAAGAAATTCTTTTTTCTTCTCTTCTATCTAGAATGACAAAATTTGTAATTTTCTGATTCCCTGGTATGAAAGTTCCTGCAAATTAAAACCTCACAAAAATATGATTCTCTTCAAAAATCCACATCCCTACAAAAAATATATCCTCTCAATAATCCATAGCTCCAGAAAAATGTGTCTCTTTCAAAAGTTTTGTTGGTGCATGTAACCATAACTGGGAAAAATGTATTTTAAAATACTATGTATTTTGTGTTTTAAAATATAGCGTATTTTAATTTCATTGTATTTCAAATACTTACAGGAAAAGTATTTTAAATACAAAATACTCACGTCTGATGTACCGAATTGGACTTTACAACTGATTCATATAAAAAAATTATAATTTGTTTTATAGATTATAATCTTTTGTATTTATTTTAATTTTTTTTTTTAAGAGAAGCAGTTATGATAGGAGGGAACAATAGTAGATGTAGTTTTAAAACAATCAATTAAAGGAAAATATTTTATTCAACAACAAAATTCATTTTTTTAAAGAAAAATTTGATAGAAAAAGATATAATTGACCAACAGACAAATACATAGACTATGAAGATATTAATTACAAAGCAAACTTTTTGACAATTAGATTTTGTATAATATCTTTTTCTCTAATAATTGATTATTCAACAATTTCATTCTGGGAGCATCCAATACATTAGAGAATTATTTACAAGTTTTGTTGCCAAAGCTAATCGTATTAAAAAATTTAACACCATCGTTCTGAAAAAAATTGTAAGTTCCATTTTCATGGGTGTGTCCTAGAATCATTTGCTTAACTATACGTGCCTTCTTAATTTGATAATGTATTTTATGTATTTAAAGTACAAAATAAAATATATTTGATGTATTTTGTATTTTAGAAATGAAAATTGACAAATACATTTCACTATATTTGTATTTTAAAAAGATAATGCAGTTAAAAACAAGTATTTTATATTTTACTTCCTAAAATAACAAATTAAAAAAAATAATTTTATTTTGTAATTGAAAATACTTTATTTGAAATACTACCCAAGTCTGCATGTAAACCTGTCCTGGACAGCTCTGGATCAGTAACCATCTGTCAAAGAGACTTCGGGATTGTTTTTGGAATATTTTTATTGTATTTTGAATGAATGAAAACATGTTTATTATACTTTAAAAATCTACAAAGTAAAATATACATATATACAAGCAACAACACTTAGACAATGAAAAATTCCGTCTGTCTAGGTCTGTGTGTAATTCATAATAAATATTCATTACATTTATAACTAAAATAAATTAGTAGTAATATATCTGCTTTATTATTATATATTTATACCTCTATTCTAGCAATTTCTTCCTTCACTGTTTCATTTGTTTACATAGAGTTTTTAAATAACAAACATTAATACCTTATAAATCCAATAAATAAGAAATTTAATTTCAACGAAAATAATAATAATAATCAAATACAATACAACAATAAAAAGAAACGTTACTAAAAATAGACACGATATTGTACTAATGGTTCAGTAACTGACTAATTCAGATTTTTGCAATGTGGTCTGCTGTACATAATTGCTTAAGGCTTTCCAGTTAAAACCCTTTAATAAACTAAATAATTCTTCTGGAGAACAGGTCTGCTGCCCAAAATATTTTTCTCTTATTTCAACGTACATGTGGCAAGTCCCTAAGTGTGAATGATGTCCTCTTTTTCGTGAGAGTTACATACCAGAAAATTATCGTTGCTTTCAACCATCCATGGTTTTACGCTTAAATCAAGCAATTCAGTCCTACATCGAAAAATTGACCTCATAGTCACAATGTCAAAATTATCATTAAGATAGGGTGTAATAGTGCCCAATGAACATTTTTGAAAATTATTTTGTTTTTCTAAATCCTCTACCACATGTCTAATAACAGTCAATGTTCTGCGCAGATCAGCGATGTTTATAGCATCAAGATTGATTTTATTACTATCCTCGAATTCTAATCACTTTCCGTACAATAAACTCTCTTAGTCATCACCTCTTTCGCTAGGATATGTGATAATCGAAAACCAGGCATCTCCATGACTTTCAAAATATAGTCAAAATGAATTTTAAGTGTATAAGAGTATATCGAGGTGCATACCTTGGGAGTCGCAGTAATGTTTTTACAAAGTATCTTTTAAATTTTTCCAAAACTTCATAGGGCTCGAAACCCCAAACCTGCCCGGGCATAAACACCGCCCGAGAGACCGAATTACAAACCACTAGTTTACCTGCATTTATATTATATTTTATAAATGTTTTAATTATTAATGTTGTATTTGCATTTACAGGTTGTTCATAAACTAACAAGAATGGACCAAACATCTAGTGAAGAATTGGCAATCCGTCGCTCAATGTTTCCTGGTATGTCAGAAGCTATATTAAATTAACCAAATTTATTTCTTTTATATTTCGTATTGAGTTAGTATTTAACAGTTATACCTTCAAAAATTTCATTTTAATGATTATATATATACTCATTAGATTCATTAGATTTGCCATTTTAAAAACATTGATTCAAGTCAAACATTGAGAAGTAAATTTTTTTAGTTTTTTTGAATGATAAATTCATATCAATTTGAGTCCAACTTTCATTTCTAATATTTTCATTGTACGTTATATTGTGCTTCCTTTTCTATTTCATAATAATCATAATTATATCACAATATAATATAAATAATATTTTATGTAATATAATAATTAATAGATTATATTCAAAGGGAAAATGTCTTGATCGAAAAATAACTGACGTCATCTGTGTAAAATATAACTACCACTTCCAGATGAATTTTGAACAAATTTTTGGTATAAAGTCTTTATTTTGTATTAGGAGAGTAGTAGGTTACAGGAGTCGGACATATATAATTAAATGAACAGTTGTATAATTTGTAAAATAATCGCCATAGGAAAGCAGCACTAACGAGCCTAGAGGATTGTACTGAAAAGTTGACCTCCTGTTTTTTTGAGTTCCATGGTTTTAACCACTAATGTATTTTAATCTTGATCACTTTTGTAAATCCCAAAAACTGCCATATTTTCGCACTTTTTTCCCCATTTCGACCATAAAGGAGTACATTTTCGAAAATAAAACATTCCGCACACTTTTAAGCTAGATTAAATACGCTGCAATTTAAGACCTGAACTGTTTTGGTAAGTCTAATAGTTTTTGAGATACAGATTTTCAGGGTTTCGGAATTTTTTCGAGCTTGAAAATATTATGCTATTTTTCATGTTTGATCATATGCAATTGTCTTTATATATTCAATAACCTGTCTTATATGGTTCAGTGAAGTAAATTTAATATTTATTTCAATATCTTAAAGGAGGGGTGAGGGAGGGAGAGAGGTTTCGTGGGAGAAGGGGAGATCTATGTTGGTCTAAGGAGAGTTCTAAAACAACAACATATTACTGGAAAGAGGAGGGAAAAAAATGTTAAACTCTGATAAACTTTGAAACCAATTATGATAAAATAAGGTCGGGAGGCCGATATATAGGTTTCGACATCTGCTCAAACTTGAAGTAAAGAGCAAGAAAAATAAATTAAAAAATTGTCAAACTCTACCGATCTCGATAAAATAAGGCTGATATATTGGTCTTTGCTTAAATTTATGCTTACGTCGATCCGTTGAAGAATGATTGACGCATTTATTACCAAAAAAAATAATGTTCCAAGTGATATTCGTTTAATCTCGATAAAATATGGCCGAAAGGCCGATCTTTAGAATATCGATATCTGCTGAAATTCGGGGAGGAAACAACAAAAAAAAAAATGTTCCTCAAAGGAATATCATAGGGCTAGGGATCGGAGGTTACGAATAATTGGCTAAAAGGTCGATATTCCAATATTAATATAGGTATCGGTCGATCCCTAGCCTTTACTGCAACATACTTTTTTATTAATTATTTTTATTGATACAATGATAACTTTCTATGTAGCTGGCAAAATACGAAAGTAGATGTAGTAAGGCTTCAATATGTGTACTTAAATATATCTCATATCGAGATGAAAATCTGTCTCTGCCTGTTTTAAAAAAATAAGATATGTAATATATCGACTACTTAAATTTTTCAGTATTCTGATAAATCTATCAGCTTAGTTTTTCATTTGGGGTGACTGTGTTTTATGTGTTATGTTTTTTGTTTTTTTGTATTATTGAAATCTACAACTGTATAATGATAAATACAACTAGTAAATATGAAATAAGTAACTTATGTTTTTAATTTACTTATCTTTATGTTATTTTATTTTTTTATTGCACATAGCTTTTGATTATTATTTTATTTTTGTTAATTTTATGTTTTCTGTATATGGTGTGAATGTGTTCATATCTCACTATAATTATTGTCCACGTGACAGATTATTATATTTCTAAATAAATAAATAAAATAAAGTTTTTCATTTATGTAATTTGCAGATGTCAAGGACATCGTAAAATGGAATTTGAGATGTACGGCATGTGGTAGATCAATTAGGAGGCAAATATTTAAAGGAGATCTTATTATTATTCACCCTAGATTGGAAACCCTCATTTGTTATGTAAGTATACGTGTATTCATATACGGGTAGTATGCATTTATTGATATATGCTAGTTAGAAATCCTTGGAATAATTTTATATATATATATATATATATATATATATATATATATATATTTACAAAATTTCTTCAATCGACCTTTGAGTATTATATTTTAACATAATTATTTAATTGGGAATAAGGTCACTTAATAATTATTCAATAAACTACTAAATGTTTACTGCTTCTGTATTTATTCGACGTTTCGATACCGGTTTTTATAAGTTAACATAACTCTTCAAAGTTTTAAAATAGAGCCTCGATACCTCAGGCCAGGAACACACCAACAGTCTCAGCACCGTCCACCAGCACAGATATTAAGCTACTGTGTATACAGCTACAGATTAAGTACTAAATGAACATTTAGTAGTTTATTGAATAATTATTAAGTGACCTTATTCCCAATTAAATATTAATATGTATATATATACATATACATCATTATCAATATTTATATTAATATAAATATAATTTATTACACACTCCAACCAACTCCCCTTCAAAAATAAAGTATTTTTTTTTCCACCTATATATTTAAAAAAAAAATAATTTAGAGTATTTAGTTTCTTTTAGTTGATCAAATTACATTCATTTTGGTATGAGGTATAAAAATTTAATTTGTTTAATTTATTAAGTTAAGACAAAGTTTTGGTCATTATATTCAATAATAAAAAGCTGCTTATATAATTTGCATAGTCATTAATGAGGCTGCATCTGACAAAGTGTATTTTGTTTCCAGGTATGCATGGAGTTTTTAGGGAATGAAGAGTTCTCTGTTGACGAGGACGGGACTGATAAGTACTGTAGATGGTGTGGCCAAGGAGGGAAACTGTTGTTGTGCTCTTCTTGCCCCCATGCATTCTGCAAGGTTAGTCTTAGAATGCTGATTAGGTCTGATCTTTCAAATTAAATAACACATTTTAATGTGATATAAGTTTTTTTGTGACGAGAACCACTTTTAGATAACTGAATTGATTTTGATAAAATCTGGTTTGGCATTTCTTATTGCCTATCTAGATGCTATAGACATAAATCAGTACTCTATTTGCACTACTTTCGTATTATATTTTTTAGCTTCAAAGAAAAATTAAGTAGATTCATTTGAACAATTTCTTGAGAAATCTGGGTCATCCTCGAGTTTATTCTACAAAATAATTACATATTATTTGAGTAATGATTGTATGTAAAACATCAGATTTTTTATTCATATTTAACATTACAAAATTTACTATTAATCTATTTTAATTACTTTTTCACATTGTATACATTTCAATTCACAAATGATACATTTCAATCAATGGGTAATCATCAGAGATAAAAATGGGGGAGGGGGGAAATCACATCCGAAAAATGATAAATATAAAAGTATGTAAATAAGAAAAGAAAATGTGGAACATTCAAATGAAATAAAAGTAAAATAAACATAACAGTTTTTATTACTGTTTTGTTTATATTACCATTATCTGATCTGTATGTTACACCTTTTTCTTCTTTTATTTACATGCATTTATATTTATATATTTTTTTAAAGCAGAAGAAAGAAAGGAAATTAAATTTTATACTGGGACATTCAGTCCCCTAAGAATATGAACAATTTCGTGAAATTTGTCTGACATGAGAGGATGATCAAAAATTAATTAAATTACATGGTTGTCGAACCCTAAAACTAAAATGATTGAAATACACAACTTAACATTTGAATTATAGTTAGATATATATGAGCATGTTCACATATAAATAATAGATAATATTTAGTTATCTATTAGATAAGAGCAAACCAGCGTATAACTAACGCAAACAGAGCTTTTAAAGGTATTGAAATACCTAAAAATCTCAAACTAAGAGTGTACTGTGTTTAAATGAGGTTAAGGATGAGGATTTTGCGTATGGAAGTAGGTAGGAAATTCCGGAAGCAGGTAGCACGTATGAGAAAAGATTTTTTAAAGGAAACAGTCCTGTGAGAAAGAATAAAAAGGTTTGTGGGTTGGGATTTCGAGTTAAACAAATGGACCAAGGAGCAAGGAGTTAAAAAGGTTAGCGGGTTTTTTGGTTGTAAAGGTCCAGAAAAAGAAAACGCCTAGAAGATATTGCCGTCGGAAAACTGGATAGAGCCACTTCAACTGGGCAAACCAACTGGAGACGTGGGAGCGCCTGGGGGCTCCAAAGATGAATCCAATAAAACAATTCATCAGTATTTTTAATGTGATCTCTAGTCTTACAGACAGTCCACCGTATACAAGGCAATCATAATCAAAGTGAGGAAAAATGAGAGAGGAAATAAGGAGCTGGCAGGTCTTAAGGGGCATAGAATCACGGAATATCAGGAACTATTTTAGGGTCGCTTAAATAGATTTTCGGATATTTGGGAAATATGATTGTTCCAGGAGAGGTATTGATCAAAAACTCCCAGATTTAATCCCAGATTTTTTAAGGAAGTATGAAAATAAATAGGTAGTCCATTGAGGTAGAGTAGGAGATCATAAGGAATGGCATTGGTGAGATGCTTGGAACCAGTGAGAATGGCTTTAGTCTTCACCACGTTCAACTTTAAATCATTGAAGGCTGCCCAAGTGCTAATACTATCTATATCTTCCTGAAGCCGTTGGACCACAACAAGCATCTCAGTGGGATGAAAGGAAAGGTAGATTTGAAGGCCTTCAGTATAAAGGTGGTATTGTGAATGATGGATAGAATCAGGATGGTCATTGATGTAGATGGAGAAAGGATTTTGAGAGAGCGAGGATCCACCATATATAAGCCATATATAACTGCGACAACAGTTTTATATATATATATATATATATATATATATATATATATATATATATATATATATATAAAACTAAAGATATGAATCATAGTCGGATAATAGGACCTTACACCTATTATCTGACTATAATTCATATCTTAAGTTATAATATATAAAGGTCGAATTATAAAAAAAAACATTGTAATATATATATATATATATATATATATATATATAATATATATATATATATATATATATATATATATATATTACTTAATATATAAATATTTCTGTAGCTAATTTATACATTTTATTTCATATGTAGCATATATTACTTATATTATATATTATATATATTCGAACCCTCTCGTTTCAAACCTTGCTTCCTCCTCGATCCCTGATAACCCTCCGAGGCGTCTGAAAAGAAGGTGGCCTCGTGATCTTGTGTAAATTTATTATTTGAGTGCTATCAGTGGTTAGTTTCTCAACAAGAGATTTCATGTTATATCCCTGAGTGCACATTTACTAGTTGTATTTTTTTTATAATACAGTTGTAAATATCGATGAATAAAAAAAAAAAAAAGTAGAGATGCTACATATGAAATAAAATGTATAAAGTAGTTACAGAAATATTTATATATTGAATAAAAATCACAGTAATTATGAAAAGAATCATAATAAGCTTGCGTTACCATGTTTAATGATTTAAAATTTCAAATTATATACCTTCATGCTCCTTTTTATTAAATTTATAAAATTATTTGTTATTTTTTTGTGTTATCAGAGGTGCATAAAGAGAAACCTTCCCGAGAATGTCCAAGAAAATACGGTAGATGAGCAATGGAAGTGTTACATTTGTGACATCTCTCCACTCTACCAGCTGCGAGCGCAATGCTGGGCTGCTCAGCAATATTCAGACTACATAAAGGTAAACGGACATTTATATTTAGGAGTAAGTAAAAGTTTCATAAATTCAATAAAAAAAGATTTTGTCCTGTTTTTTTTTTTTTCTTTGCGCAACCGGTTTCGGACTTTAATCATACCTTCCTCAGGCTAAACAATTAACATAAAATAATAAAATTGACATCAACAATAAAAAAGTACAAGAATTCGATAACAATAATCCAAATTATTACGAAAACTTAACAATTAAATTATTATTATTATAATGGCGCTACGGTCCTGCAAGAACCCGGGCCTCCTCTACTACAGCCAACCAATCTCCACCGTCTTGTGCTACTTCCCTCCATCTGCGAACGCCCAGTCGCCTCAGATCGTCCTCCAGCCATCTGATCCGAGGGCGCCCTCTACTTCTTTTGCCATCCGGATTCTCGGATGAAGCATCTTCTTTGGCATTCTTTGGTCTGTCATTCTTTCCACATGACCTAACCATCTGATTCTGGCTCTTTTTATCAATATCAGGTTCACCATAGAGTTCCCGCAGCTCCTCATTCTTTTTTCTTCTCCAAATTCCATTCTCAAAGATATATTCTTCTCAATACTTTCCTCTCCCAGGAGTTGAGCTGTGTGCGTTCTGAGTTTTTGGTTAAGGTCCAAGTCTCACACCATACATAACCACTGGTCTTACTATGGTTTTGTAAATGAGAATTTTGATTCTTTTAGAGAGTGATCTGAACTTCAAGTCTCTTTGCAGTGAGAAATATTATCTATTTCCTGCTGCAATCCTGGCGTTTATTTCACTCTCTACTTTATTATTGCATGTGACCAGGCTTCCAAGGTACTTGAACTGGTCAAAAGACCTAAACTTGTGATCCCTTAATGCTATTTTTGTACTCATTTCCTTTTCCATTTTTGAATTTTTCATATACACCGTCTTATTTTCGTTAACTCTAAGGCCCAGTTTAGCTGTTGCTTCTTCGAATTCTGGAAAGTTCCCGATAATGCTGCTTGGGTTTTAGAGAGAATGGCAACATCATCGGCATATGCCAGATGTTGTGACATACGATTGTAAATTGTTCCTCCTGGATTTGTTCGAATAGAACGAATAGCAACTTCTAAGGCAAGGTTAAAAAGAAAGGGAGATAAAGAATCACCTTGTCTCAATCCGTTATCCACCTCAAATTCTTCGGACAGCGAATTTGCAATTTTCACTCGACAAGTAGTCTTCATTAGCGTCAGTTTTGTAAGTCTGACCAGTTTCTTGGGTATGCTTATATCTATACCCAATTTTTATGTATTATTAAATAAAAAAAAATAGTTAATCACCTAACTTATGACTCTTGTGATGATGATTCTTGATATTAACTAAAGAAGAAATAAGAGATCGTAACGGATAATAGTTGTAATGGAGAAACCAATGGAATATTAGAGCACCCGAGCTCGCCTGAAAGATTAGAACAGGTTGCCATACGTAAGATACGTAAGATGCATACGTAACATGAGCTGAATACAAGACGGACTTTTGACAATATTATGTACGTATACATTTGCGGTTTTCATAAATGCTGCTGTTGGTATTATTTAATATTTAATTGTATAGATTACAGGGATATAAAAATTAAAATTTGCATATATGAGGGCGATTAAACAAATAAAAAGACTCACAATGAAATGTAAACAAATATGGCGTCTATAATTTTTACTTTCATTTCCTCTTTGTCTGAAAATAATTATTTCTGCTAAGAGGGTGGTAAGTGAAAGAGTGATGCCCGCACCAGATTTTTTATATTAAAATATAACTAATAAATTTTAAGGGTATATATTATTCAATCTAATTACAAAAATAGATAATAAATATGACAATATCATACAGAGCCTGAATAATGTGTAAGCAACCAAAATAAGTTAAAATTGTAATATGAATTTAATAGTGGAAAATATATTATTCTTTATTAAAATAATTCTAGAATAATTATTTTAAGTAAAATGATTAGTTATTAGTTAACATGGAACATTAGTTCCAAATAATTTAATTAACTCTCACTTAGAGAACATTTTAATTTAGATAGTATTAAAATACGGAGAGACATTATTCATTTAATAGCTGATTTAATTAAAATTTATGCAGGTATTGATTCAACAGAATGCCATATAAATACAATATATATGTTATATAGCATTTCCAAGCCAATTTCAACCTTTTCAAAGTCTAATTCAACCTTTTCAAAGTCTAATTCAACCTTATTTTGTTTATTTTAAATTTTTTGAATTAATGGTCAGTTATCGTATGCGTAGATTTTGAAAATAATCTCCATTTTAAGATTACGCCACTTCATTTCGGAGACGGAGCTCTTGAAAATGACCTCTATTTTAAGATTACGCCACTATTTTTCGGTTCATTTAAGTTTTTCGTATTTATTCGATATTAGGGTCTACTTATATGTTATCGGAGACCTAGTTTTTGAAAATAACCTACATTTTAAAATCACGCCACTGCTTTTCGACTCACCTCATTTTTCGGATTTATTCGATATAAGGGTCTACCTATATGTTATCGGAGAAGTAGTTTTTGAAAATAATCTCCATTTTAGAATTACGCCACTGTGTTTCGATTATTTCAGTTTTTCGAATTTATTCGATATAAGGGTCTACTTATATGTTATTGGAGACGTAGTTTTTTTAAAATGACCTTCATTTTAAAATTACGGAACTGCGTTTTGATTTATTTAAATTTTTTGGATTCATTCGATATAAGGGTCTATTCATATGTTTCCGGGGCCGTAGATTTTGAAAATGTCCCTCATTTTAAGATTACGCCACTGCGATCCGAATTTTTTCCGTTTTTTTTAAATGTATTCGATATAAGGGTCTACCTATATGTTATCAGAGACGTCGTTTTTGAAAATAATCTCCATTTAAAGATTATACCACTGTGTTTTGATTTGTTTATGTTTTTTTTTAAATTTTTTCTTTGAATTTAACAAAAATACAAAAGATTAATTTATTTTTCCGTTCCCCCATTTCTCCCCCCACTCTTTAGCTGGGTTTAGTCGCTCTAAAGCCCTCTTTAAATTGGTTTAACAAAAGCCAACTCTATTTTTGTTTAAAGTTCACTGAAAACAAGACAAACAAATTTGGTCTAGTTTACAGTGAAGCAATCTTTAATTACTTAGGTTCAATAGTTTTTTAGTAATCACTTTCTATTTAAAAAAAAAAAAAAAAACGTGGCTTTCTGAAAAACACAAAACTTTAATTTTTTACTTTCCTACTCTCGAACCATTGTTAATATAAACTTTTTGTGAGTGATAAACATTCAGGATGCAGGCATTATAAAGTTTTTATTAGTGCCGACGTTTCAACCCAAACATGTGGGTCATCATCACCTTCAGCGCTGGAGTCATATCCTGATGATGACTCACATGTTTGGGTTGAAACGTCGGCACTAATAAAAATTTTATAATGACTGCGTCCTGATTTATCACCCATGATATGTAGAACAGTCGACTAACTTCCTTCAATAATTAATAAACTTTTTGAAGTTCTTGTGTTCTGCTATCACTCCTTTAAATATTTCTATAGAGACTATAGTTGCTTGAGGTTGCAATTCATCCAGATCTATTGGAACTGAATAAAAACTGGGTCCGGGAGAAAAACGTATTTTCTTGTGCTCGAATAAAAGGTTGTGCGGAAGAATAAATATAGTTTTTTAACAAAATTAATTTCCTCCATCATGTATTTTACCTGCGAGACTCAGTTCGAAGTCAATTGGAACGGACTCCGACAGGAGCAGAAGCGTTCGCCTCTCACGGCGCGCAGTGGGGCGAGTAAGAGAAAACTCGCGACATCTATTTGAATCTGTCGAAATCTTTTGTTTTTTATAACTCCGAAAAATAGACAAACTGTTTTATCGATACCTTGTGTTGCTGGCGGGGTATCCGAGAATATTTTTAGTTGGCACTATATACATTTTTTACTGTTTTTTATTGAATAGTTCAACTTAAAAAAAAATTATTTAACCGATGAAAAAAAATTATTTAAGCTTTCCCTTACTTGGCCCACTGTGCTGCGGCACCAAAACTGCATCACTGCATCACTGCATCATTGCGGCCAAAGGCCGGGCGCAGGTTGATCCACAGCCTGGCGTGACATGATGTGATAAACCGTAATATTAATAAAAATGATCATGATTATAATTTTTTAAATATTATATTAGAAAATTTGTCTATAAGGGTGAAAACCTGCCTGAATATGCTGCTTCTTAGAACATTTTCGGAATTTTTGTCCACCGTCCAGGAGGGGAGGCGTCCCCTGGCTGGATCCGCTGGTACTGGTCACGAGAATAATTTATTTTATATAAATTTCCTGCCCTGGGGAACTTCCGCCGCGATTGAATAACAGTCGGAGAATTCAGTAACTTTGAAGGAGCGGTCGGAGAGATAGGAGTATTAAGGCGGAAATGCTGACAAATTCTTAATTAATTTTTACCTCTATCGCTGTACAATTATATTTCCCATTTAAATAAATTAACGATTAATAAATAAACCAGTTGTTTTTACCGGCATCACCGTACAATAATTATATTTATCCAATAATTTTTTTCAAGTTATCGTTTTTAATTCTTATATATTTGTATTCGGCGATTTTATTATTCCATAATTCGGCAGAATTATGGTAATCGTCAATACAATACGTAGTGTTATCGTTCGTCCACCCCATGTTGCCGCACCGATCCGTGGGCTGTTGGATAGACGGTGACATGGTTCAACACGTTGAATCATGTGGAGAGATGACGCATTCGACAGGCAACAACGGTCAACTTGTAGCATGCAGTAAGGAGAAATGTTTTTTGTAGCTTTGCGTTCCTTCTATGGAAAGACTGTGTGCAGCATGCGCCAATGCCGCATGCTACATGTTGCCTAACAGTTGCCTCAATGGGATTAGATATAAGGACTGTGATAGGTGGAAGTTAAGGCGGAATTCCACTGAGACAACACGAAACGACATTTTTGCCTATTGTAGCCGTCTGATCATGTGGCACAAAATTCAATTAATGTCGCATGCTGAATTTGTTGCCCCACATCGCATGAGCTTTGTCGTACACTTGTGTAGCATGCGACTAAAGCGATTCCATTCAGGCAAGTTCAGTTTGGTACATCATGTCATTACAAACAGTCGCGGTAGCTGCATATTTGGTGATCGCTTTGAATCATAAATGGAAAAGAAAAACACCACGATATTGGTGAAGGGAGCTATAAATCGATAGTCAAGAAATTCGGTGTAATTTGACATTTTACGCCTGAAGAGTAGTTGAAAAGTTCATTTTAGCCCGAGAGGATCTGAGAAAAAATCGGTATTATTTGATTAAAACATTAAACGAGTTTTTTAAAAAATATTTATAACATTTATATTTAAAAAATGATTCTGCCAGTCAGATCTTGCTACCTGTAAAAATGGCGGCTGATGTAAAGAATATTAGACCAGTTACTTGAGGATCTAAACGGAAAATTCATTGTGTAAAATGTGGGAAAAGTTTTTATTTTTTAACTTGCATATAAGGGTTCAGAGATGTAAAAAACAGGATGATGAGGTATAAAAAAACAAAAAAAAAAATTTATAAAGAAATAACGAATCCCGATTCGAGAAATATAATTGATATGTATTAAAACTGTCAGTACTCAGTGGACGCGGAATTTGATACTCTATAGCTTTTATTCTATGAGTTTTTCTCTTAGAGAACTCATTCCCAAGCTGCAGCGCTATTTATAATAATTTGTCTGTTTTTCATGAATTTGGTAAAAATCGGTGTTGCTAACGAACATAGCACTTAACCAAATTATTAAGTTTAGCTACTCGTTCTACTTACAATTTAACTTTATTTAATTTATGAAAGAAAAGTTTTTTTTCGCTTTGTTGCACCGTTTAGGAACTATAGGTGAAAAAAAAAAACATCGAAATCTTAACAATGCCGCATGCTACATAAAAGTTGCTTCAGTGGAATCCTTTAAGCTTGAAGAGCAATTCGGCGTACCTTACCCGGTCAAAAGCCTGCGCTATTTCCAGAAACGCACCCGAAAAATATTGCCTCTTTTCTAGAGCTGAGGATATATGGTCAACAACTCGGAATTATTGTTGGACAGTGGAATGTTGGGAACAAAATTCGAATTAATCGGTGGTATTTTTTGGGGATTCTATTATGAGTGGGATTCTTTTCAAGAGGATATATTTAAAATTTTTTGAAAGGTTTAGGAGTAGGCTAATTGGTTTATAGGAGGATTTACTGTTGGAAGATTTTTCATTGGTTTCAGGACAGAAAGATGGTTGAATTTTTCCATAGGAGAGGGAAGTGGGTAGTTCTTAAGAGGCAATTATAAATATATGTAAGGAATATATTAGCTTTGGGTGGATATCTGGAACAACATTTAGCCTTGTTTCTTTCCATCATTCTATGTGCGGAGAGAATAAATAAAGGATTGGAATTAGACAAAAACTTAATCAATATGATAAAAGCAACATGTGATAAAACTTAATGTGATAAAAGCAACAAAGAATAAACAGGTTTATTCTTTGTTGCTTTTATCACAGGAAAGAATGTGGACTTAATAATAATGGTTGATTTAGAATATATATTAGATGGTAGGCATTATTTAATTTTGCAATTTTATTTTCTGTCTTTGCCTATTTTTACTACCCATTTTTCTCAGTATTTTTTTTTCTATTTGTGTATAACATCAAGAATCACAGTGAAATATGTTTTAAGCCTTATCCATGGGCAAGCTTTTATTTATTTTCTATAAATATTTATCCATTAACTATTAAGAATTTCATTTTAATAGTTATTATTGTTTTAATTTATCTGGTGAGAGTTACTTCATTAAGTTGATTATATATTATAAATTGTTGTTTTATAGACATCTAGAACTAGTTCTAAAAGATCTCGAACCGACGTGGAAGAAAAATCTAGATTTATGCAAAGTAAAAAGAACCGACAAGAAGATTTGAGAAGAAAAATTTCAAAGACAGAACCTAAAAAAGAGGAAAATGACAGCTGTGGGAGAGGATCGAATATTAAGAAAAATTACGACTTAGGTAAAAAACAAATTAATAAAATTATTTATTTTTAAAATAATTTTCTTATAGACAATGCTGATATAAACAAGGAGGCTCACAAGAAACTTCTTGAGTGCATGAGTAAAAAAATTAATTTAAACAATTTTTTTTTAGTAACGGCCCTCGGGAAAAGTCTTACCACATTGTTTGTTGCTGTGGAGACAAGTATTTCAACAGTAACAAAAATGTTACAAGAGTATGCGGAAAGTTGGTCTCAAGCGGTAAAAAAAGACGATATAAAAGAAGATGAAGACTTGAGGACTGCGAAAAAACAAGTTGAAGTAAGTACATTGCCGTTCTTAATATCTGATTGTATTATATGACTTATAATATATATATTATAATACTATTTAGTATATACTACTTAGTAATATTTTAATATTACTTCTCAAGATATGATGTTAAGAAAACAAAAAAAATTAATATAATTTTAATACTCTAATTTTCCGAAATTATTACTGGTTCTTCTTCTTCCGGCACTATAACTCAGTGTTGAGTCAAAGCCTCCCACAACATCAACCGCCAGTCCTCTTATCTCTTATCTCGGTTTGTTGCCACTATCTTCCAGCTCCTTACTCCCAAGATGGACTGTGCATCCTCTGCTACTCAATCGGCCCACTGCCAATTTTCCTCTTACCGTATAGCCTTTTTTTCAAAAGTTTCTTTTGGCACTCATCATCCTTCGTTCGAGCAACATGGCCTGTCCAACAAAGCCTTTCATTTCTTATAAATCTGACGACGTTTGTATTATTATACATTCTTTCTATCTCAGCATTAGTTCTTTGTTGCCAAACATTATCGCTGAACGCAGGCCCGACCCAAAGATTTTTCTAAGGATCCGCCTCTCGAATCTTAGGAGGAATCTTAGGATTTTGAGCTCGAATGATCGTCCAGCATTCGGAAGCATAGGTCACAACAGGTCTTATGAGGGTGTTATAAAACTGCACTTTGATATTCCGTAAGAGGTATCTATTTTTGAAATGTTTTAAGAGTCCACAATAGTATCTGTTTGCAGCCTTTAATCTTCTATTAATTTCTTGCTGCATATTATTATCGGAGTCCACTTGAGAGCCTAAATAAATAAAATCGTTCACACACTCTAAATGTGAAGTCTCCGAGTTTTACGTGTCTGATCTAATGCTCGTGGTTCTGCTCTCATATTTTTAGTTTTTGACTCATTTATTATTAGACCCACTCTTTTTGCAGCTTCCTGTAAAGTGAGAAATGCTATAGGTGCAGCATGTAGATAGAAATGCCATAAACTGCTTGGTAGATGCCAAACTCTTTCCCATTATGTCTAAGTCGTCCGCAAAGCGAAGGATTTGAGCCGATTCGTTAAATAAGGCGCCTCCAATCTCTACTCCTGAGCTTCTAACAGTATACTAGTGCCATATTAAACAATGAAAAGGCAAGTCTGCAACAACTCTGCCCAAATCCCTTGTATCCCTCAAAATCCTTTAGAATTTAGAATAGAAAAGTCTCCAACTATCTGGACTGCACACTACCTTCTTCACGGTTATCTTTATCAAACGAACTAACTTGAAGGGAGTTCCCAATTCCAGTAGATTTTGTTATATCTCTTTCTTTATAATAGGCTGTCGTAGACTATCTGAAAATCAATAAAGAGGTGGCGCGTGGTAATATTGTACTCTCTATCTTTTTCTAGGATTGCTCTAATTGAGAATATCTGATCCACAGTCTCTCAACCATAGATAGAACCCTGCCTGGTACAATCCTATTTTTCGTTTTGCGATTGGACGGAGTCTCTGATAGCTGCTGGTACCATATTATTTTTAAAGCAGCTAATCGCTTCTTGAACCTCCTCGTAATCTGGTGGCTCAACAAGGTCTCCTTCTGCAATATCTTGCACAAGTTCGAACAATGGCGGACATAGAATTGATGACCCTACCCTATACTTTAAATCGGGAATCTCGGGATGTGGTCTAGGAGACCACACTCGCGGTCAAAGGTCTCCATGATCTGTAGCGCCAGCCGAATATATATATATATATATATATATATATATATATATATATATATATATATATATATATATATCACTGCATAACACTTGATATGCAGGGGTGGGGTCCACGAGAGGCCTGGAAACGACATTTGTCTCTCTATGGTTAAGATTTCTTGCAGGCCAGTCTCATTTAATAAAATGCCATTTCCTATCTCTACTGTCTCACATACATAAGAAGTAGCAATGTCTTGTCTACCCCAGTTGCATTCCTAAGAGTATGGCAATGACTTTTAGATCACCACAGATTTTCCATTTGTGTTCATGATATTTGAGTGAGTCCAAGATGGCTGTAATATTTGCATATTTCTTCTTCATGTAAACTGCATGACCAACAGGATTAGAAGAAAGAAGGTTGTCATTGTGAAGTAACCTAGCTTTCAAACTAAGTTTGGAGGAGTCTATGAATAGCCTCCATTCAGTTGTAACATGGTTCAAATTCAAAGATTTCATTAAGCCTTTAATGTCACAGCAAACAACAAGAATATTTTTTTTCTCAATAAAGGGAAGGAGTTCTCTGTGACGTTTTCTGTACTGTGAGATTCTGACATCACTTTCTAGAAGATTTCATTGCTGTAGTCGAGACCCAAGAATCACTGGCTTCTCCTTTGACAGACCAAGGTCTCTAATGTGATCACATAATTCAGCTTGACTCAATCTGTGCGGTTTATCATCTTTTCCCTCAAAATTAGGGTCACGGGATGTGGAAGGTTTGTTGGGTTCTTCATTTTCTACTTCAAACATAAATTTTCGGGGGTAGCGGGAACTGGTAAACTATCTGAATGCAGAATGGATCGAATAGCAGATCAAAGATTTGGGCACTGAACTGTTCTTCTTTTCTTCATAAATCCTGCCTTTATAGGTGCAGTCAAGCAGAAATAGCAGTAATCTGTATGGTATGTAGGCTCCTGCCAAACCATAGACACACCGAAAATCATAGATCGTTTCTTTCTCATCCATTCTCGAAGTGTAACTGAACATGCGTTGCAACATATATGTGGAGCCCAAGACTTATTCTGGTCCCCTATTTTCATACCGAAATAATGCTGATAGGCAATCTTTACAAGAGGTGTGGGATTACGTTTCTGTGAGGAAAATTTCTTTTCACCACAAATATAGCAAAAATCATTCACCATATTTATACATTTTCGTGGCATTTTTACGAAAAAAAGCACACTCAAACCAGATATTCTGCATTAATTACCGCAGAAACTATATGAAACTCACAGTCACAGCAACATTAACTATGTGTATGACTTACAAACAGCTGAAGAGCATTTGTGTTTGGTTGTTTAACAGCCGTACCAACTCCCAAAAAAAAAAATTCCTCCAAAAAATATTCCTCCAAATTGAAAATGTTGACTCTAAAAAATGAAATGTCACTTTATCTCTAAAGCAAGAGCTAATCTGTCATTTTTATGGTGATCTTCGGAGGGGGGGAAGGAAAAAGGGCTTTCGGGTTGCAGTCCTCCCCCCCCCCAAATGGTAAAATGTAACCATCGTAATTACATTTAATAGGACTTCAAGAATCACTTAAACACCATTTCATATAAGTAGTTAGTATCATTATTTTTTTCAAAGGTAATTATCATTATATATATGAAACAAAAAAACTTTCGGGTTGAAGCCTCTACCAAAATTAAATGCTGGAATCGCTAGTGCTTCTTGGAGAACGCCCCATTACCCGTCCATCTTACCTCTTGGATACCAGTGATGTCCATTTTTTAATGGTCTAATTGTGTGAGGAGCTGTTCTCGTGCTCCCGGTCGCTAAAGAGTGAGAACATTCCATGTTCCCAGTTCAAGGTTCATGAGGCGGGCATTATGCCGTTTCCTTAAAATCAGTCTGCCATATCATTGTACGGGTTTTTAAATATTCAAAGTTTATGGGGAGAAGGTTATCAGCCCAGACTCTGCCCCAGAGTCAGTTGGAGCGGACTGCCTCCTCGGAGCATCCTGACGTACTCCTCCGTCCTGGGCGGCTACCAAGAGGAGGTGGCTCAAGGGTGTTTACTGTATTTGACCTTTGTCTGTAAATGTGAAATGTTTGTAGTGTACTGTTCTGGCGTCACAGTAGTTGTTCCACCAACCTGGAGGGCCAGTTGCTGATTGCAATCTACAAACTGGACGGTGGACTTCTCACATCCCTATGCCATAATCGGATGATTGCTGGTAGTTAATGAAAAACTTAAATTTTGTCTTGGAGCTTTATAATGGCTAGTTTTAAAATTAATATTCATCAATCATGAATTAGCCTATGTTTAAATTTTAATGTCAATTTTTTATTTCATTTTCTGATTGGAGTGAGATGGTCAATTAAAGCATTGCAACCGCTGAGCTCAGGTTTCAGTCTGGCAATATTTCATATATGTGTGTAATTTATCGTAATAATTAATTTTTTAATCAAGAAAATTAAGAGATGATATATATTTTCTTTGTTTATAAAATTATCTGTTGCTTGATTTTAGGTTGTGAATGAGAGTAGTGAAGAGGTAAACTTGATTCAAGACGTAAATGATAGGTATGTTAAAAATTTAGATAAATTTATCCAATTTAAATCTTGAATGCGAAACCATGCAATATTTTCACTAGTATATGTGCTGTTACAAATTTAACTAAAAACTATTAGTTGATAATAGCTTAATATATATAGATAAATATAATTGGGCTTAATTAGGCAATTTCTATGGACTCTAAAACAGCATGGCCCAAATTTCAAGTCCATTTCTAATATATTTTCTTTCATTACAAAAGAGAAACTGAAAGCCAGATTTTCTTTTTTGTTCTCAATAAGATGTTGATAAAGGATGATAATTTTGAAAAAGTAATGAATGAAATAAAAAAGACTCATAGTTCGCCATTCAATCTATTAAAAACTTTCTGAGCTATAATAAGGTTCCTATTAACAGGGTGATTGTTGAAACATTTTGAAAAAAATTCAAGGAGTTGGGATGTAAAATGACTGTTCACTTCTTTCATTACTATATTGACTACTTTCTGGAAAATCTGGGATATTGCGAAGAGAAAAGCGAACACATTTCTTCCCTTGTTCACCAATCTGAAGAAATTTCTACTTCCTTTGCTGTTGTAGCAGTTTTATATTTGCTAGCTCCTCTCCCTCCTACTGTCATTTCTTTTTGTGATCTAACCGCTTCTCTTCTTTCTTTCTCTGTCGATTTGGTCTCCTTGCTCACTTATGGCTTGTTCAAGAATCCTTTCTTGATGGCGTTGAAGCACCTTCCTGCAGACTTTATTCTTTCCTTTATTTCTCCATCGATCCATCAATGTTCATTGATCTTGGTACTGAGATATTAAAAATTCTTTAATTGTTCCAACGGGGATTCAAGTGAACTATGCTACCACCTTCTTCCTTCTATCCTGCAAATCCTCATAGTTTTTGTTTTTTCCACATTTATTTGCATATTTATCTTATTTAATTCTTCTTGATGGATGCAGAGGTTGAATTGAAATGTTTCTCCCGTGAAAAAAATATATATGGAAACTAAAGATATGTAGATAGTGTATACACACACACACACACACACACACACACACACACACACACACACACACACACACACACACACACACACACACACACACACACACACACACACACACACACACACACACACACACACACACACACACACACACACACACACACACACACACACACACACACACACACACACACACACACACACACATATATATAAAGATTTAATATTATTTCTTTCATTTTAATAACACATGTTATAAATATACTGTTATATAACCATCTGTGATAAAAACTCTACTGTATATGTATATATATATATATATATATATATAATACTTCTGATCGTCCGGACAAGAAAAAATAAAAAAAAGGAATAAGGGATGTGAAATAACACACTCAGTTGCTTGCAAAAGACATGACTTTATTTCTCTAGTAATCCTCTATCTATAGTATTATGTCTTGATTACATTATCTAAATAGGATTAAACATTATATAGTCTTTTCACTAACCATAACTGATATATATATATATATATATATATATATATATACATATTAGAAATGAAATTGGGTCAAACAGATGTACAATTATATGAAGTACAAAACAAATTTGTTTTAGATAAATTCAACAATAAACAGAATCACATAGAATGGTTTAAAAAATACCAGTCTGAGTGTAATAGACATAATATAACTAGTTTTGTAAAAATAATTGAAATACTTAATTTTTTCATTGTTGATGCTTCTAAAGACCGGTATGAAGGAAATTAAAAAAAAGATTGGTTTAAAAAACTGTTGTGATTGGAAACATTCTTTTTTACGTATATTTGTTGATAATGGTTGGTTGAATGTGAGAAAATCTTACAGCTATAAGTATATTAGACAATTCCTTGATCGGTCATGTCCAAGCAAAAGCGAGACTATGCTACTAGGGAGTTGACAGTAATAGTACAGTTGCTTCAAGAATCAACATGATAATGATGGACCGACCATTAGAAGTTCAGGACAATGTAGACAGGGAAGCGGTAACTACTATTATCTACAGAATTAATAAAACTCGATGATTCTTGTAGTACAATGATATAAGTAATAACATCCGATTTAAAGGTAAATAAAACAACTAGGGATATATTTGAATAGGGATGGACGCTACATTTGTTGAGATTAATTATGACCAGTTTTTATCTATTTTGCTTTAAAAGGGAGATATCTAGCGTAAATCAAAAAAAGTTCAAAATTACAATGGTTTTTGGAGCACTGCAGCGAAACTACAAGGCTTTCAAGGGTGGAAACTTTGATTTTTTATATTTACTGCATACCTAACAATATAAATATTCAACTAATTTGAAAATATACCTAATCAATATTAAAGAACTTTGAATTACTCGATCTTTTGCACGGTAGGCCTCTTTTTTTTTTTTTTCGCTAATTTTACTGGGCTACGCTGTCCATCACTGGATTAAATAAAATAATGGATTCCTTTGATAGAATTAGCGCTGAATTTAGGAACCTGCCCACACTCACAAGTTATTAAAATTACTGTTACTGAAACACGTTAGCATTTGGTAACTGCTAATCTTCAACCTGTACGTTTGTTTATTTGTGCTTTGAGGCGTAAAACCCTAGGGTCATCAACGCCTGTTTGTCATTTATTTTTGCTCTTTGGAGTTCAGAAACTGTTTATACGAAAAATAAATACAGTAGAAAATTGAATAATAATAATCTATATAAATAAAATAAAGATTTTGTCAGTACATTAAATAGAATCAACCCGTTTTACGATATCTTTCCGTTTCATACATTGCAGACACCAAATCCACTTTTAGAAAAAAATTTTGTCTGTCTGTATGTCGGCATTGCAACGAAATTTTATCAGAGGTAAGCTCAGCAATGGCTTATTGTAGACTTTTGAAATTTTGATATTATATTTAGGTTTGCCTGACTTAAAACATAGGCTTTAAATGAAACAAAATATTGAGTATAACCAAAGTTATGAATTCTTGAGTAATTTGTCTAGAGATATCGGTTAATGTTGATAATAAACGTTAATAATAAACATATGTTCATAGGTTAAAGAACATCTATATAAATAAAATAAAGGTTTTGTCTGTACATTGAGTAGAGTCAAACCGTTTCATGATATCTTTCCGTTTTATACATTACAGACACCAAAACCACTTTAAAAACCACCAAAAATTTTTAAGGTTAGGCAGTTACTTCGATTCTAATCCCAACCTACTCTACCGCGAGCAAGATTTAAAAGTTGTACTACTCAACCGATGGAAAAAATGATCACAACTCAAAGGGAAAAATCCGGAATATCGAGCATTTGTAACGCGTTGTCACATAAAACGGGTAAAACACACTCATTTTTCCTCCTCCCCTCATCATACAAAATCCATCTCAAAAAAAGATTCTCAAATTTTAACTATGCACCCGTCAAAGAAGGGTTAAACATCAGCAAGTAAAAAATATAATAAAAAAAAAATTATATGCATCTCTATATTTTGTGAAATGAACTATGGGTTTTAAGGAAGTTTATAATTGCTTTTATATTTGATTCGTCATTATTTATTATCAATGAAATATCCTGTCTAAGAGATAATCTATTTAAGCTTGTGGAGTAATAGGGGCATTCCTGAAAATTATAACTGACAGTGAGATGGCCATTGCAATATTGGCATGTCGGAGGTGGTTGTTTATTGATAAGGTTTAAATGAGTATGACTTATTCTCAACCTAGTCACGGCGATTTCCTCTCTGTGATAAGAACGGTTTGATGTGGTCCAGGGCTTTACTTATTTTTTTATACTTTTCTTGCTTGGTGGACTCCCATTCCACATGGACTGCCAGCTGCCTGATATTTCTTTTTTAAGAGGAAAACCCTTCTCCAGAGGTGTTAGGATAGCAGTATCTCGGCCTGGGAGCGTGAGCGCTTGCTTAGCTGCCATAATCAACAACCATCATCCTTCTTACACCTACAACCTTCTCCAGTTCAAATCCTCAGTCCATTCCCTGTCCACAAGATCTCGACCTTCTAACCTTTACATGCCTTCTCACAGATCTGCCTCATTCCAAAATTCCTTTGCTGTTCGCTCTGTCAATTTCTGGAATTCCCTCCCTATCAAAATTCGACATTCCCCATCCATATCCACATTCAAAACCCTCCTATTCCAATTCCTATCCCAAAAACAGTCAGATAGGTGCTAACCATTCGAGCTGATTTTAATAGAGCATTTGATACATTTTTATTTTTTAATTCTTTATTATTTTCTTAAAATTGTATACTGGTCTATAAGTGCAAATAGCTTTAAGTGTCTTGTCATAGTATTAATGGTTTTGTATATAGAATTTTTACCTTATATTTTTTTTTACATTATTTCTTTTTTTCGATTGATTTTATTTTGGCCAGATGTAATATTTTAATTTTGTTCTATTTTGTTATTCTCAAGGGACTGTGTCCCAGAATAAAGTTATTTTTCTATTCTATTCTATTCTAATCGGTAACCTGTCATTGACATTTCACAGTTTAGTCCATTATTAATCTTTGATGTTTCTTTTTTTCAAAGCCTCAATCATGTAACTGCTCATCAGACTGTTTCCTCATTAAGGATGCCTTTCAGTTGTCTATTTAGTCTTTGAGAGCTTTTCAGTTTCTGTTTCTATCCTCTATTTTTAAATAACTCTATCTTAGCCACCTTCTGTGGGGGTCCATCACATATCACTGTGTCTGAATGCACATGTTACCGAAATTATTTTATTATTTTCGCTTTATCTAATCCAATAAAATAATTTTTTATTAATAATCTCATTAACCATACATATTTTTATTGGTGTAGAGATGGTTGATCGTGATAAGGAATTGGTCGGGGGTGAGGTCAAATAAATACTATTTTAGTTTATAGTATTTATTTGACCACATTTCCGACCGACTCTTTCTCACATAACAATTTTTTTTTTTTTTTTTTTTTTTTTGTAGGACAGAGCCAGAGCCAGCTGAAGACGTGTATAATGAAGCAAGTAAGTTTTTTACACAATCACACTTCCCTTTTCAGGGAGATATCCCATCTTCAAGTATAGACTTTTTATCAGTTATACTAAATTAATAATAATTTATTTTTTAAGGCCTTTCTGGATGCATGGACTGTTCTTTGGAATTAAAAGACATAGAGAACATCAATTTCTCCGATGCCATTATAGTTCCACCTACAGAAATCCAATGCAATGACGAGGTTCAGATTGGAAGTGATACCGGACTTTTTGACGAAGATTGGCTTCCTTCCCCAGAATTTGTTCCTTGCAGTTCTCCACTGATGAAATAGGATAAGGGGAGAAAAAAAAATTAAAAATAAACAAAAAATATAAAAAAATTAAAAAGAAAAAAAAATTAAAAAGAAAAAAAAATTAAAAAGAAAAAATATTTAAAAAAGAAAATAATATGTAAAACAGATAAAACAAAAATTAATAAAATGAAAAAATATATAAAAAAGTCAGAGGAAACGGATAGTCATGAAAATGTTATAACCAGCAAGAATTAGAGGATATTGCAAAATCAACAGAACTAGAACCTGAAGTAAGTACATTATCTGTTAAGTTTCTCATTATATCACATATTTTAATATTTTTGGATTTAATATTATTTTCATTAAACCACACTCGTCCACTAACACAGCAACATGCACATGCTCGCATACTCGCTCTCAAATTAAAGAAAAAGTTAAAATAGCCGCAAGAAATTATTCCAATGTTCCTTATTTCGATGAACGAAATCAGATTTCCGTTAAAATTGATTTTTTAATGCTTCTAAAAAACTCATATCCATAGGATACACGCGATTTTTTATTTAATTATGATAACAAAAGTCAAAATCGGCTAACCGGAAGTGGTACTTTATATCAACGTTTATACACATTTTTACAATTTTCTCCAAAATGGCTCCAAAGATTCTGATTAAACTCGGGGTGTCATTGTTTAATTAAGTGTTCTTTAATATCATTGAAGTCTTATCCCCATTTATGTCACTTTACAGGGCTTAAATGCTTAAATGTTCTACATGACCTCCTCTATACTACCTTTAATTTGGTTTATTTTATATAATTAACTAACTCCAATTATTAAAATGATTTGGGTGACCGTCCACCACGGAAAGCCACGCTGCCCGAGATTCCTCCCCCCCCCCGCCATGTGAGCCCCGTCAGGCTACTGGAGGCAACTCACACCGCCCGGGCGTAGGATTGATGACTCTACCCCTTACTTTAAATCGAGAATCGGGATGTTGCCTAGGAGACCACATCCTGCGGTCAAAGATCTTCATGGTCTGTAGCGCCAACAGAAAAAAAAAATATATATAGCTAAGAGGCTGGAGTTTTCTTTATCTTTTAACCTACAGTTATCAAATGTAATCTTTTTTAGTTTGTTATACACTCATTTCTTATCGTTTATCACAATCTGTTTACTTTTAACTTACATACTATATTCTCCTTTTTTTTCTATTTTTATTCATACTTATTTTATATTTTTGTTTGTAATTTCTATATATATAAAATACTTGATATTTTAACTACATTGTCACTCACTATATCTCTGATATCATTTTTTATTTTTATAAAAATTAGGCCAATTATCACCAAATATTTTATTGATGCGCTATTTAATTCGACGTTTCGACCATACTAATTGTCATTTTCTAGTCTTGATGAGTCCTCCGTTATATATTCATCATTAATGTCGCAAATAATATGTTCAGTGAACATTAAATTGTCATGGTCTATAGGGGTTTCACCTACGTCATTTCTGGAGGGACTCTTCTTCAGTTCTCCAGTCACTCCAGAAATGACGTAGGTGAAACCCCTATAGACCATGACAATTTAATGTTCACTGAACATATTATTTGAGACATTAATGATGAATATATAACGGAGGACTCATCAAGACTTGAAAATGACCCTTAGTATGGTCGAAACGTCGAATTAAATTGGGTATCAATAAAATTTTTGATGATAATTGGCCCAATTTATATAAAAATAAAACCTCAAGACACCAAAATTAGGATAAATGAACAAAAGAAACATCTTATTATTTCTTAATCAGACACCTTTTTCTTATTTCATATCTACTTATTGTTCATTTATTTTATTTTCACCATGTACCTTTTATATTTTGTATCTTTTGTAGCCCTGATGAAGGCCTGCAAGGGGGGTCGAAACGTCGGCACAGTTAATTAAATAATACTATTTCTATAATTTAGTATTTATTTGACCGTACCCCCCGATCAACTTCTCATAAAAGATTTGTGGGTTTGTTAAATCTCTAATTCCATTACAAATTACATATAATAGCTTGGAAATATAGTTTATAAAGTAATACGGCAACACTGGATGTAAACTAATATTTATGTTCACTACTTAACTAAGCGAGAATAAATTTGTTTCGGATTAATTTTTTTTTTTACAATTTCGGATTGTCCACTAAATAAATTACGCGTTATTTCACTGCGCTTCTTTTCATCCTTTCCGAAAATACCAAATACAAGATTAAAAATGAATTTGAGTTTTGTCTTTAAATGGTTGACTAAAATTTTGTTTATAAAGGAAACAGTTAAACAGTCTATGATAAAGAGTGGAGAATGTGTTGGGACTACGGTAAATGTTAGAAGGGTTGCAATTATCCTGGAAGGGAGGTAGAATGCTAATATTTGTATTAGGGGGAGGGGGGCTAAGACGGAAGGAACTAAGGTGGAGTCGGCCTGTCTGTTTGCTCAGCTAATGAGTTAAACACAGGCTCGCCAAGGGGACAAATTAGATTAGAAATGAAAATCGAAGTTTACCCTCTCTCTCTCTCCTCTCTCTCTTCCTCTCCCCCCTCCGTTTCTCTTCACTCTTCCCACACCAATCCCTTACAAGACTTTCTTTTACTCATTTTATTTTTATTTTCTATCTCAGGCCCAATACCATTTCCTTGGCTTTTCGCTTTTATGCCATTTATGTTTCTAGACTTACAACGTATAATTATAGTTAGTCAGATATCGTAAATAAGACTTCCATTACATTTTTAGAAAACGACACTTACATAAATTATTTATGAGAACGAGTTAGTCGGGGGTGCGGTCAGATAAATTAATTAAATTAAAATATAATAATTATTTTATTTTAATTTTGCCGACGTTTCGACCCACTTTGCAGGTCGTCTTAAGGGCTACAAAAGATACAAAAAATGTTGAGAATAAAAAATTAACCATATTAAGGATTTTGGATTGTAAGGATTTTATACTGGAAGAATTTGAAGATTTTGTGGAATCCAAAAATTAATATTTACAAATGTACATATTTTACATATAATTCGGACTCTTAAATTATTACGTAATTTTATTATTTTTCTTAATTATTCGCCTTTTTTTTTAAGGATAGAATAGAAGAATCAACTTTATTCTGGGACGAAGTCCTTTGAGAATAACAATATTGTACATAAAATTAACATTACATCTGGCCAAAATGCATATTACAATAAAAAAACAAAGCAAAAAAAAAAAAACACTTAAAGCCTGTTGATAAATATTTGTGAAAATATAATTACACATAAATTTAAATATTTAGTTTTTTGTTTGACATGAAAATCTTTTTTTTTTATTGGCCTTCAAGGACCATAGTTAAGCATCATATCATATACTTATTTTTTTTTCTTTTTCTTCGAGAATAATTACTGTTATTAAAAAAAAATAAAATAAATAACAAAAATAAATAAATAAAACATTAAATTCTGGCTTCACAACTGCGCCCATTATTGAAGTCACTATTGTTATAATTTGAGCCCTGATTTACAAACTGGCAATTTCCCATAGCACCAGTTTTTTTGTGGCGTAGAAGAATTCGGGATCGAAAATACAAAACAAGAATTGAGAGACATTAACATCATCTTACTAGGGGGAGAGAAATCGGAGCCTTAGTTTAATATTGCCATAGTTGGATATCGGAATAAATTGTAAATATTATATATATATATATATATATTGCTTTTCAATCATTCAATATTTTATAAATTTACCCATGTTTCTGAATAACGTGTAATGTTCCCTGTAAATACGAGTTACAACTAGTCTGCATAATGCAAGGGGCTTTTTTGTTGAGCTTAGTTTTCATGTTCAAGATTAAAAAAAAATGTTTACACTATATTTATTAATGTTTTTCTCAAGTCATAACCAAGGGCCGGATTTGTATGCAGTTGCATATTTTTTTTTTGCCTGCAGTTTTTAAACTGGCCATTAAACATCTATACGAATCAGTGTACCCAGACGCGATTAGTCAAATTTTCTATTTCATATTTGATAATGAATGCATGTAACTGCATATTTGAACTATTTTAAACAAAAATTTGTAATAATAATTAAAAATAGTAAAAACTCAATACAATTGTAGCTTGATTTCCAATCTGCTAATAACAAAATAATGATATATTCAGTTATTGACTTGGCTTATTGGAATATGTTTTTTTTATGGCTTTTTATGCCCAATTTCTCATTCATTTAACTACTAAACACCAGACTCATTTTAAAACTCATTGAAATTTTTACTTATACTTCTGTTGTTGAAGTTTTTATTGGACACAACATCATGTTAATAATTATAAGTGGATGCAAACTTTCTCTTATCAAAACTTTTTTAAAAATTCATTTTCTCATTGTAAAAATATTCCAAATGGTAGAAGATTAGGTTGTTTCAGAAACAAATTTAGAAATTCATTTATTAATTTTGATCAGATCACATCGCTTATAAATTCCTGATCCATAGGCGTTATATTTATTTTGTTCATGCTTTCAATTAATTTTTTAGGTTAAAAATATTGCAAGTTCCGTATATATACACTTTTTTTTTTTAGTTCTAAACATATCGTAGGCACATTGGTAAAATTGAATATTTTATTGTATATGAGATTTTTTTTTTTTTCATATCTTATTGCATTTCGTATGCATGGCATATTTTGCGAGTTTTCACTGTATAAAAATCCGAGCCGTGATCGTAATCGTGAAGTGAAATTTCAAAGTTCTTGTTTCAATGCTTTAGTAAGTATTCTCTTATAATAACTTATGACGTAAATTTCTCATTTTTATGAAGAATAATACTGTAATGATGGCACATTTAATGTATTTTCTCCCTTAAGATAAAGGAAAAGCCTTAGCCATTACTTAAAGAATGGGAGGGGCGAAAGGTGTAAGAAAAAGAGGTGAAACAACCCCCTCCTTATTCACTGCACCATTTAGGATTCTTCTTTAATTTCAACTTCTTTCATAATGAAATTATTTATAAAGCAATGTCTCAACTGAGCTGTG